AGTGGTCGTTGGGTGAGGATGGAGGAACCTCGGGCTAGGGGTCGTAGGGTTTCTTCATTTTAGCTTCTTCTTCTTCAATGAAGGAGATGAACAACCAGCTCAAAAAAAAAATTTCCCTTACGTTCGCTCCTCCTCCCTTTTCACGTTCTGTGCGTTTTCTTTTTCCAAATTTTTGCTTTTTAAAATTTCAAATCCCTTTTGCCTTCTCCCGTTAGCTTTTTTTTATCCCTCTTTTTCTTTTTTAAAAAATCCCCCCATCCCCTTATGTCTGTTCTTTGTTACACTATTCCAAGAAATAGACCTCACGTGTGTAGGGGTCCAAGACTTGTGTCCCCCATGCGTGGTGGGCTTCCCCGTGTGTGGTGTTCCGTCCATGTTCCCCACGCGTGTCCCCCATGTGTGGTGGGCTCGGATTATTATGGGCTAGTTCCGAAAATTAGGCCTAAAAACGGGTACTTTGAACCCAAATAGTATTCTTTTGCCCGGACCAGAGAATAAGAACACGACGTTGTTCAACTAATCCTATGTAAGCAAAATAACTACCAAAATAAGACTGTCATTTAAAACAAAACTATTTTTTAATACTTTTTTCAAGATTAAAATAGCTCCAAAACATTAATAAAACTATTTTTTGTAATTTTCGTTTTTATATAAAGATAAAATATAAAGTATTGTTTTTTTGTGTTTTCTAAAGATTAAATGACTATAAAACGCTAACGAAACTATTTTTTTTTGTAATTTTCGAAATTATATGAAGATAAAATATAAAGTACTTTTTTTTGTATTTTTAAAATATTAAAATGATTACAAAACATTAATAAAACTATATTTTTTGTAATTTTTTCGAAATTATATAAAGTATAAAAATAAGGTACTATTTTTTATATTTTTCAAGTTTATGAGAAATACATAAACTAAAATGTTTATATATATATATTTTTTGTAATTTTTTCGAAATTATATAAAGTATAAAAATAAGGTACTATTTTTTATATTTTTCAAGTTTATGAGAAATACATAAACTAAAATGTTTATATATATATATTTTTTGTAATTTTTTCGAAATTATATAAAGTATAAAAATAAGGTACTATTTTTTATATTTTTCAAGTTTATGAGAAATACATAAACTAAAATGTTTATATATATATATTTTTTGTAATTTTTTCGAAATTATATAAAGTATAAAAATAAGGTACTATTTTTTATATTTTTCAAGTTTATGAGAAATACATAAACTAAAATGTTTATATATATATATTTTTTGTAATTTTTCCTTTTGCGACGAAATAAAGTAAAATAGTCAAAATTAGCTAAAATAGCTATATTAGACCTAAATTAAAAATTCGTGCCAAAAAATGTTAAAATTCTTGGGGAGGGTCAAAAATCACACGTCTACAGTAGCAGCTAAGACTTCTAAAGAAGAGACAACATATATTGAATTGTGGCATCAAAGATTAGGACATGCACCACCAAGTACTTTACAACAACTAGAGGAACTGAAGAATAAAGTTGATGCAGGCTTACACAAGCTATGTGAAGTCTATACACTAGCTAAACAAAGTAGACTCAAGTTTTCAAATAGTAGTAGTAAGTCTGATAGTATTTTTCAACTTGTGCATGTTGATGTATGGGGTCCATATAAGGTCCCAACTTATGACAGAAAGCATTATTTTGTGACAATAATTGATGACTTCAGTCGATATACTTGTATTTGTTTGTTGCATTTAAAGAGTGAAGTAATAGTAGTGTTGAAAGATTTCTTTGCCTTGGTTAAAAACATATTTAACACAATGATTAAGACTATAAGATCAAATAATGACACAGAGTTTTTCAATACTCAGTGCAATGATTTGTATGCTTCTCAGAGTTTTTCAATACTCAGTGCAATGATTTGTATGCTTCTCTAGGTATTGTGCATCAAAACAGCTATCCATATACTCCATAAAAAAATGGAGTTGTGGAGAGGAAGACACATTCTAGAGGTAGCAAGGGCTTTAAGATTCTAAAGTGGTATACTAGTAAAGTTCTGGGGAGACTGTTTGAAAATAGTTGTGTACTTGATCAACAAATTGCCTTCAGAAGTCTTGAAAGGGAAATCTCATTTTGAAATGTTGCATAAGAAGCCACCAAAGGTGGATCATTTAAGGGTGTTTGGTTGTTTGTGCTATGCAAGCACATTACTTAAAGGTGACAAATTTGCCCCAAGAGCAAAAAGAACTGTCTTCTTAGGGTATTTAGAGACTCAAAAAGGCTACAAGTTGCTTGATTTAGATAGTAACATCTTCCTAGTTAATAGAGATGTCAACTTTAGAGAGAATGTGTTTCCCTTCAAGACTGACCACAATCACTTGGAACATGAGGATCTATTTCTTCTTAATACCACAGACACGACTGAAGTTATGGAAAGAAGTAGCAGGGCTATGCCACCTGATCATGCCAGTGATCACAATACTAATCAAGCTGACCAAGCTGAATCATCCCAAGAACATGAAGTCATTCCAGAACTTGAGACTTCAACACTTGAATCAGGAGAAATGACACAGCAAGAGACACATGATCAATTGCATTATGCACTGCTAGAATCTATTGCAGATTCCTCAGACTCAGCCCAATGATCAATTGTCTCAGACTGCACCTATAGCAAATCCTCCTGCGCTTCAACCTGCACCAACAGTTGCACTTCGAAGATCAGTTATAGGGGTCAAACCTGCTATTTGGATGAAGGATTATTATACTACTAGGAACTCCTCCAATCATAGTTCTTGTTACATCCCGTACATTTGATATGGTATTCTGAGTGGAACATTTTTGTAAAAAAAGTTTAAAAAAATAAATAAATATGATTTTATATAATTATTAATATTACTACTTTCAATTATATACATGATATGAGAAAGTTTATGAGATTTTCTTTATTGTAAAGATAGAAATTATTTTCTCACATAAAAAGAAAATTACCTTTTTACTATTTTTTTTAAAAAAAATTTAAGCGTACGGAAATTTTTACTCTTTATCTGAGATTATGAAAATTAGAAGTTGAGAATATATATATATTTTTACATGGATGTTTTAATAAAATAATAGTATATGTATTTATTTTGTCTGATACCATATGACCATGATAGTAAGTTATATAAAGTGTATTAAAACTGAGTATTATTTTAAGTAAGTTGAGATAATTCTTAATTATGCGGGTAATTGGTAATTATCCAAAATATTTTAGATAAAACATAACGTGGCAGATTTTGCCTTAAACAAAGTGTGACTCATACATTAATTAATTTATGTGGCGTTTCATTGATAAATTTTCACATATACCACACAACCTATGGTATCACTTATTCTACATATAACCGACAAAGTGAACAAACTCGGTTGGACATGTTTCTAAGCAGATTCTACGGTACTTCCGATAACTTTCTTATGACTAGTTGACTTTCATGTATTGTAAAAGGTTAAGTTGGTTCTCTAGATGCACAAGTCATGTGGAGGAATCATATTGAAATATTTGCAGGGATTGATTTTTGAGTTTGATTCATGAGCAAAGGCTACGACAGAGAAGCAAAGAAAATCATTGCACATTTGTGAATCAAATTTCATCTTTCCATAGATCCTAGACATCTGTTAGTTCCTTTTTCCTTGTGATTCTAAGGGAGTACGATACAATATTTCTCAAGAATATCATAAGAATTTTTCCCTACTTTGATCCTGCGTTACGTGTTCTTCGCAAAAGATGTATGCTAAAGGGATTGTCAAGAGAATTGGTCCAGGTATGTTAAGGCTAAACTCTTCCTTCATTTTGCATGATCTCGTAATTACACGAGTTTGATAATGAGACACAAAGAAAAATTCATGTTCCGGAATTTACATATATTTTTCTAGTCTTATAAGTGATAATATTCTTCCTTATCGCGACTATGTGTAGAATGTGCATGTGAGATATCGTCTGCCATTTAGGATCAACAATAACTGGCATAAAGTAGTTTAGTAGTGCTCCAAAACCAACAAAACATCCGTCCTTCCCATGATTGATGACTGATGAGTGGCTCCGAGGCTCTTACATATATGATTTACTCTTGGGAGTCTAAACGTGATGTTGCTTCAATGTCATGGATATATTTAGTAGATTCTTATTGCAAAAAGTAATATGACAACATTGTTTCATGGGAATGGAGTCATTCCATTAATAGTATCATGGAGAGCTAGAGCGACTTATTCGGGGCTAAAGATACAATGTTTCATAGCTTACAATCTTTAACATTTTTAAAGTTGTGCCATATTGAGATTATAATGGCTCTAGATGGATTATTGAATTTCTACTATTTCTATTTTTCCCATTAAGTATTTGCTATAAACGTACTCCTCATACATTGCATTCATTCACATGTGCATTTACCCATAACTCAGATGGCGTTATATACATGTATATATGTATATGANATATATATATAATATGGGAAAGGTTATGGAGTTATATACGAACCACTACCTGATCAGCTGGTATACAATGATGATTTTGCCCACTGTGGCTGAGATGATATGATGTGATGCCCTCAGAGGTTTTATGATGTTATGTACATATATCCCTATGCATTATATGACATTTCTATGCATATGCATGATACTATAAATATTTCATGATTTACAGAGCTATTAAGATTTACAGGTTGAGTCATTTACTCTATATTTCTTCTATGTCCTTAATTAATGTTGACTTACTGTTATGTTTTAGTTCTGCCTTACATACTCAGTACATTATTAGTACTGATGTCCTTTTGTTGGGGACGCTGCATTCATGCCTACAGGTATAGATAATCAGATTGACGAACCCTCATAATAGACGAGGTCTACGTTCAGCAAAGGATCGGTAAGACTCCACCTCATTCGGAGTGCAGCCGAGTCTATGAGTCATCGTGTTAAAGTTTTTATATAGACTTATGGGTAGGCCGGTACCCTATCCAATTTGATGTTGAATAATCCTAGAGGCTTTGTAGACAAATGTTCATTTTGTACAGTATGTGAGAGGCCTTGCCGGCCCATAGTTATTCATGTCTTAAGAAAAATGGTTTAGTGAAATAGTGTTTTTCAGTTACAGTTGTACATTCCGAGTTGCGGCCATGTTGGACCATGATAGTTACAAAAGGAAGGAACAAGTTACAGAGTGGTTCGCTTGGGCCACTACAGTATTGGGTGCCAGCCACGCCTCCCCAGGTTCGGGGCGTGATAGTTTCTACCCTATCTCACAATATGTATCCCATGACCATCTTTCAACCCATTACCAAGCCTATCTAACAGTCATTTCAATAGAAGTAGAACCACGGTCCTTCTCATAAGCTTCACAAGATGCTAGGTGGGTTGAAGCTATGCAAAATAAGATCAAGTCCTTAGATGATTACAACACTTGGGAAGTAGTAGACTTGCCCTGTGGTAAAAAGGCCATTGGGTCTAAGTGGGTATATAAAATCAAATACAAGGCAAATGGAGAGATAGAAAGGTTCAAATCAAGATTTGTGACAAAGGACTACACACAGCAAGAGGGCCTAGACTACCATGAAACTTTCTCACCAGTAGCAAAGATGGTAACAGTCAGAATAGTAATTAGCCTGGCAGCTTCAAGAATTGGCATCTTTTTCAAATGGATGTCAATAATAATTTTTTTCAGGGAGATCTTTATGAGGAAGTTTACATGCATTTTCCCCAAGATTTTCATAGGCAGGGGGAGTCCAAGGTTTGCAAATTGTCCAAGTCACTCTATGGTCTTAAATATGCATCTAGGCAACAAAATATTAAGCTAACTGATGCCTTGACAAAAGCAGGTTTTTTGCAAAGTGCCAATGACCATTCACTCTTCACCAAGAAGAATGGTGCAGATGTGGTGATTATATTGGTCTATGTTGACGACCTATTGATAACAGGCAATTGAGAGCTATGATACAAGCAGCAAAAGAAATATTGCATTTGAATTTTAAAGTGAATGATCTAGGGGAGTTGAAATACTTCCTAGGTATAGAGATCATGAGGTCGCCAAAGGGAATTCTTCTTAATTAAAGGAAATATGCCCTTAGTCTGATATCTGAAGTTGGGTTGAGTGGGGCAAAACCTGCAAGTTCTCCACTTGAACAAAATCAAAAGTTGACTACGGTAGACTATGACAAGCATGTAGGGGCAATAGGAGATGAAGAATTACATGATATAGGTGGATATCAAAAGCTTATAGGAAAGCTGATATATCTGACCATAACCAGACCAGACATATGCTTTGTTGTTCAAATGCTGAGTCAGTTTATGCAACATCCAAAATAGTCACACATAGAGGCAACATTGAGAGTTGTAAGATATATTAAGGGGTGTCTAGGCAGAGGAGTATTGTTGAAAGAGGAACCTCTAGAACAAGTCACAATCTACTGTGATTCTGACTGGGCAGCCTGCCCATACACAAGAAGATCTGTTACAGGGTATGTAGTGAAAACGGGAGATTCCTTGATCTCACGGAAATAAAAAAAGCAATAGACTTTGAGCAGAAGTTCAACAGAAGCTGAGTATAGAAGCATGACAGCTGTGGTATCTAAAGTAGTATGGCTCATAGGGTTGATAAAAGAGCTTGGGATTGGAGTTCAAACACCTGTGAGGCTGTTTTGTGATAGCAAAGCAGCTCTACAGATTGTTGCCAATCTAATCTATCATGAAAGAACTAAACACATAGAAATAGACTGCCATTTTGTGATGGAAAGAATCAAAAGTGGACTGATTGCAACAGAACACATCTCAACAAAAGAGCAAGTTGCAAACATGATGACTAAAGCCTTTGGTACTGCACAACATCAGATTCTTGTGTCCAAGCTGGGAGTATTGGATGTTTTCCACTCTCCATCTTGAGGAGGAGTTTTGTGATAATAGATATTACTTAAAAGATAGGGACCAAAGTGTAATTAGTGAAAGTTAGAAGACAAAATTGTAATGAAGAAGAAGTTAGGAAGTTAGGTTGTTAAAAGGGATGAGTTATTGATCCAACAATGTTAATGATAATAATGAAGAACACCATTTTCTCTCTTCTTTCTCTATAGTTCATTGAAAAATTAGTTTTCTTCACTGCTTGAATCCTGTAAATTGTCAATCTTCTAAGTCAAAACATTTCTAAGAATTCATTTGCAATGGGTGCATAGAATAAGAATAAGTCTTGAGCATTATTCATTTCAACGACAAAGGTTGAAAACTGAGAGGCGGATCTAGGATTTGAAGTTTATGGGTTCCTACAGTAAATCCCAAGTAAATATACAATAAGTAACTGGGTTCGCAATCAAATATCTATGAATATTTAGTAGATTTTTAATACATATACAGAGTATGTGCAAAAGCTACTGGGTTTACAAGAACCCACACCTACTAAGCTGGATCCCCCCTCGGTTGAAATATCAAAATAAATAAAAGCATTTTTTGGCCTACTTTACATAAACTTTCTGGCTTCAACTCAATTTGTTGAATTGATAAAACGTACCATTAATTAGGGGTGTTCATGGTTCGGTTTGGATCGGGTTTTCCCTAAAAAGAAACCAAACCAAGTAATTCGATTTTTCAAATATTAGAACCAAACCAAATCAAACCAAACCAATTAAGTCGGTTTTTTCTCGATTCGGTTTATGTTGGTTTTTCGGTTTTTTCGCTTATTTGTCGGTTTTTTCTTAAATATAAGATATACACTACCAAACACACATTTCGGCGACCACATTTCAACGTAACACTATCAAATTAATTGCCCTTTGAAAAATCTATTATTTACCAATATATATTGATGATAATTGAATCAAATAGTGATGAATAATTTAAGGACTCAATTAAAAATATATTATTTTTAACATGAAATAGATTCTCACTCTTAACAAAAGAAAACTATCAATTAAACTAGAATGTAAAGGTAAAGGACTGTACTAAAAGTGCAAACAATTAATATTTACTATAATATTTTTAAAACTTTGTATAAAAGTATACATATATATAGGTGTAATAATAAATTTAAAATAGCTACTCCTATATTCGGTTTGGTTCGGTTTTTTTAATTAAAACCAAAACCAAACCAAATTTGCTCGGTTTTTAAATTTCAAAACCAAAACCAAACCACACCAAAAAATATCAGTTTTTTGATCGGTTTGGTTTGGTTTTCGGTTTGATTTGGATTTTCGGATTTTTATGAACACCCCTGCCATTAATGTTTAAAATTTGAGAATGAGCTAGTGACGACGACGAGGAAAAATAATGTGCAGTTGATTACATTTCATATCTTTGTAAAAGACAGTGGTTTCAATTAAGAAAAAGTAAACAGAAAAGAAAATAAAGAGTATAAATCAATGGAAATGAACACCTGTTTAATGATATCCAGCCAATATTCAGGAATAAATTGAATGAGTTTTAATTAATTTATTATGTCAAATTAAAATTGAGGGTCTTTGGATAAGCACATTTTTTATTTAATTTCATGCTTGATTATAAGCCAAAATTAAACAAAATTAAAGCAATAAGTTGTTCACTCTCAAGTTGAGAGCCTTTTTTTTGGCAAGACTCGAATACTTTTCTGAAAACAAAACCTCAAACTCCTCTCCATCCATTTTGTCCTTTTTCATGTCTAAGCACTTTCAAATTTATATTTTCTTAATAGCTTTAAGGGCATCTCAGTTATTTCAACAAAAAATAGCACCTTTTTTTACCGAGCGCAAATCCTTATGATTAGTTATAATATTTTTATTTACACTTAACTGCTTATTTATAAAGTTAATGTCAATATTTCTCTTCAATCGTAACTTCATCAAATAAGTTTTAGCACTTAAAAATACTTGATGCTAATGGTACTATTAATTAACTAACCTAAACAAGCTGGGTAAGCTTTCTTGTATTGTTAATAAATGTGAGATCTCCTTCCCATTTTTGGCGTGATTCTCTACCAATTATCTCATCCACAAACAAAGTAATGACTATTATCTTTCCTAACTAAGGGTAATTTAGCCACGTGCATTCTTGATTTTTTAAAGGTAAAAATGGAAAACCACTAAATTATAGATTCATACTTAAGATGCCTCACCAAATTTTTTGAATTGCCTAGCAAGCATATCCTATATATAAAGATATCAAGCAATATAATACCTCATAATGCATTCTTGATTTTTTTCCTTTTACCAACAATGACTTGTTCAACCAATGTTTTACTAGTTCTTATTCCTCTCTATATTTCATTTCTTTTTCTTTTGAATTCACCAGCCAATGCAGAAACGTTGAGTCTATCGTCTTCCGATATATTGGAAACGGCATGCTTTCCAACTACAGATATAAAAGATTGGAATTCCACCTTATGTTTGAATATTCTAAGGTCCAGTCCCAAAGTTATATCAGCTCCAAATGGTGAAAACTTAACATTAGAAATCATTGATTTGGGACTTAAAAATGGCAGCAAAATCCATGACTACATATCCAAAAGAGTTAACGATACCCAAAATATTGATCTAAAATCAGCTTTGAACGAATGCCTTTCGTACTATAGTGATGCTATTCACTCAATGTCAATTGCTTTTGGAGAAATTCAACAAGTTGGAGAATATTATGATGGGAGGGATGATCTTATTGATTCTCTTACTGGAGCTCAAGAATGTGAATCTTGTGTCTCTAATTATAATAATATTACTGATAAACCAGTTTGTTCAGATGGGATTAAATTGTTTAAGTATTTTAGTGTACCAACAATAAGGATTCTTGAAATGCTTATGTCACATACATACCCTCCCTCTTCATTACAGGAATAAAATTCTCTGTCAACAAAATATGTACTATTTGTTTCTTTTTGTAGCTCCATTTCGAAAAGATTGTAATATTTACTTAAGAGCTAAATAATAAATTCAACTCTTTTATTAGCACTTTTTCAGTAGTATTATAATTCTCCGTGAGAAATTTTGAAGTCAGGTGTTCTATTCATTAATTTAGTAAATTAATGAATAAAAATAAGAACTTTTTGGATGTTGGAAGACTAATTCAAAGTTGGAGTAAAAAAAAACTAAATTGTTTAGGACTCAATTAATATTTCCTAACAGTGTTTAAAAGGCGTTTTCAGTGCACCGAGGAGATGGTGTAGGCAAAAGTTTTAAGAGGCATACGTCAGAGCGTTGTTGTGCATATTTGCAGTGAGGCGCAAGGCCAAAGAGACTTTTTCAAATTAAAACAAAATCTGTTGGATAAGTCCTTAATATAATACCCAAATTCTCAAAAGTCAGCTTGTAATTACTCAAAAATTTAAAAAAGGATCTGAAACATTAAATTTAAAATCAAGATATTTTTTTATTGCTAGAATCCCTAATTTATGGTCTTTCTCAGTTCTTTATCTTATCTGCTAGTTTACTACGTACTATCTCCCAAAAGCAACGAACGATTATTTTTTTTTTTTTGTAAATATAAAGAATACTTCATTC